GGGGAGAAGAATTAGGTTGGAATGTACACGTATTCTTGAAAAGAGGAGTGAAAATGATCACAATTGGCACGATTTTTTTTTCTATTTGGGTGGGGATTTGTAGGAAGTTGGTTGGGGTGTATTCTTCGAAAACAGGGGGTGAACATGAAAACAAACATTCCAAGGGCGGAGTGGGGTTTTTTGTTTGTTTGTTTGTTTGTTTTTTCCTCCTATTTTGAATCTTTAAAAAAACAAAACAAGAAGGTGAGGGGGTGTCACGAAGAAAAATACCCCACCCCCTTAAGTTTAGTTTCAATCACCACAAATAGGTCATATAAGTGCCGAAGATTAGAGAAAAGAACGGTCAATGTTTGATAGGATAGAAATAAGAGCAAATCATACCAGAGCACCGGCCAATCACCCACTCTCTATCCCCATCTCAATCTCACAGAATTGTCGGGGGAGAAGAGAGGGGGTCACGGGGGGAGGGGGGGGGGGATATTATTCTAAGTGTTTGACTTCTACAATGACCCCCCCCCCTTCATTGACCTGCTTTTTGTGTTACATGATTTGAACTAAAAAAAAAAAAAAACAACATCAACAACAACAAAACCCTAAACAAACAAACGACAACAACAAAAAAGTCGAGTGGGCCTCAAGTTAAGAACACCTACTTGTATCTAACCCTTGAACACCAACTGGGGTCAAATTAAAGCGAACTGTGCGACATATTATTGTGTGGCTAAGAATACAATCAGGACGGTATTTTACCCCCCCCCCCCCCCCCAAGAAAACACCAGCAACGAAAGCAAAAGCAAATTGGAGTGTGGTACGGGACCAAGCTGAGTTTTAATATTTGTTTTAGTAAGTGTTTTACGGCACTTGCAACACAATGAGGTCATATAAGTGCCGAAGATTAGAGGTGTTACAAGAGAGTAACAAACTCAAAAAGAAGGATGGTAGATAAAGACGATAGATGTTTGATAAGAAAGAAGAAGCAGACCACACCAGAGCACCCGCTAACCAC